ATCAAAATGTTCCTGACCCTGTTTTCCCTGCCTCTCTAACTGAGTTGCTGAGTGCTGGCTGTTCAGGGTCGAGGCGAGGAGTGCGAGTGCCAGGAAGCAGGGCCTGCTGTGCTAGGGAGGAAAATTCTCAGGGCGATCGATGCGGAGGATTAGGGCCGGCTTTTGGGCTCAGAGGCCTGGATCTGAGCAGTATTCTCAGTGGGGCCCCTGGGAGAGCTAGAGAGGCAAAGCCAGAGGAGTGAGGAGAAGAGGGCCAATGGGAGAGAGGAGAGAGAGAGAGGCTAACCTGGAACTGTCAGGAGGCTGAGAGAGGGTTGGCCAGGCTGGGAATAGAGGAGCGGTCATGCTCCCAGTCGACATTTTGAATGGTGCTGAGACTCTGCCACCCACTCAGATAAACACACACTGGCCAGTCTGATTGGATAAGCTGCAGAGCAAAGAGGAGATGTAATGTAACAAGGGAGAGAAAACAGAATGATAAACACAGATGAAGTTGGTTATTTTGTCTCCTTACTCTCCATCTTTGAATTGTCTTCAGGCCAAATGGGTAGTTGTGTTCTAACTTGATGAGTGCAGTGCACAACAAAAGGCTCCCTCCGTCTGTGTGTCTGCCTCTGATGCTCATGATTGGTCAGCCTGTTCGCCAGCACGCCGCTCTCCCCCGGGCACAGACGGTTGGATCCATGATTCATTTTGCAATGAGGAAAAAAAGGAGAGCGCATGTGAGAGAAGAAACAGCCAAGACCACTGGGAAATTATACGGTGGAGCGGCGTGGTGGATCTGGAATTAAACGGCATAATTAATCAAGCAAAAAAACAAGCACGTTGCTCATACATTTATTATTTGCATTTTTTCCACTTCAGGAGATGTAATCAGCAGATACACATCGGGTGCTCGGCCTCGATGTCACTGGGACCTGGAGGCCGAACACCCATTTTGACCACTGACCCTAAAAGCGTAAAGTGGGATCAGTTCTGCTCAAGGCTTTATTTTGTTCAAACTGACTATCTTCTCCGCACAATGCCCTCTGCCTCCAAAGTAATCTCCACAACAAGCAGAACAAGTCCCACAGAATCATGTTGTTGTCTGCCTGTCCTTTAAATTAGGGTGTCTGCAAAATTGGGTTCAAAACTCTGGGCTCTCTGTGGAGTTGTTCTGCATTATGCAGTGTTTGCACTTGACCCTATGAAGATATGTATTTTATAATACAGAAATATGATCACATAGCAGTAAGAGGCTGACAAAACCATGAAATCACCACACAAAACAACTTCAAAATTAGTAAATCTCCATTGCATACACAGCTAGAAATGTCACATTAGGTTGCATGCCAATTAGCAGAACTAATTCAACCCTGGTACACTACAGTATGTCCATCATACTGAATCCTGATTACAGTAGATAGTTGAGATGATTTGTCCCCACGAAAATAATTTAGCAAAGAAATGCACCTGCAAACTGCACAGATAATTGGACTTCTTGTGAAACTACGTTAGTGGTCTTATGTAGCTTTGAAAACCAATGTACCAGATTGACTTTGTCATAGTTGTCTATTGTAGCACTAGCAGGTGATGGATATCTAATCTAGTAAAACCTTATACATGTAAGTGTAGGAGTTTTAAATAATGAATTGGTTACTAAAAATCCCTTTTTTTATGTGATGATTTGCATTTTTTCGCCTGCTCTTGAGGTAATTTCTGCTATAATTTCAAGGTCTCTTTCCTAGATTGCAAAGTTGTTAACCCAATTTTGCAACCCAAAGCAACTTTAAAACCCTTTACTACCGCAGTATCGCTTGTAAGATGTCTTTCAAATACAGGATGAAGAGTGTGTTCCAGCTATGATACATTTTCATAGAAATAATAAAACGTATAGTTTTTTGCAAAGATAATTATGATTTTGTTTGATGTGTGCATTGTTTCCTACCTTGTTGCACAAACCCTCAAATTGATCTGGTGACACATCAGGCCTTCTGTCTCCCAGGTTCGGAACAACCCTAAGGACAAGAGTTTACATGAATTAACATAAATTAGAAACATGGATAATACTGTATATCATTTATTTACACTATGGCCATAGCTTTCTTACTTTGATGTAGGCCTATCATTAGTCATTTGTACCTCACCGATTTGTTTGTTTGCCGTTTCTTAATTGTCCTCCTTGTGATCAATACAAATTAATCTTTTTGATCTTATTGTTGAATAAGTAATGGGAAAACAACCTATGAAGAACAAAGTCACACTATAATTTACCAAAGTATTAACAGTAATAATATCTAAATTAGTAGTGGTGGTAGTGAGAGTATAACGGTTTGTCGTTTCTGTGGGAATATTGATGTGTTTTTCTCAGGAAATAGCCTTTTACTAAACTTGCCAGTAGGATATAGGCTTCCAGGGCTACTCCTTGCACTTCATATTTTACCTAGATTGCATGTGCCTCCGCCACATTAGACTATGTAACCCTCATTATGCCCATTATGCATAAATACATCCGCCGAGCAGTTTGAAGCGTATCACTTTCTGGCAGGTCAATACGGTTTGTTCCTGGAGCGCCGTCATCAATCGAGCCATCAATATGGAAATACCACTGTGACCCAGACATTAATCAATGGGCTCCTCGGGGAGGGCAGGGGCACCTAAAATCATCAATGAGACGGATCGGCTCGCAGTCAGGCTCGGACAGTCCGTATTGATAAGAGCATTTCCACCTGTAGCGGCCGGGGCGGGGAGACATGCAGGCCGCATCTGAATTCAATACCCGCCGCCGCAGCTGCGAGCCCGGAGCCCAGAAAGACACGGTTGAGCGGAGATACGTGCCTCGACTCATCATAAGACCGGTCTCTTTTTCTCCATATAGGCAACGTCTCCTTCCTCCTCCCCCCTCTCCGTCTACCTTAGAACTTTTTTTTTGTTGGCCATGCTTTGCACTAAAGAAGCACATCACGCCTCTAATACGGAGCAACAATGACTTCAAATTAAGTTCTTTGTCTTTATTCCGCGGCTTACTTTGCCGAGCTCTCCCCCCTCCTCCTCCTCCTCTCCCCTCACAATCTCTGGAGTTTAGTCAAACCCATTTCCTTCTCCAACTTCAAACTGTGAGAGGGGAAGTGGAGCTCGACATCAATGAGAAAAGTCTTCAGATGCTCGTCTCACGCACTCATCTCACTGTGAGCGCGGGATTAAAGTGTCGTCTCACTGTTGACATCCAAACCTTGACCCAATCAATTAGGTCCATGCTCTGCGTTTGCCTCCCTTACCCGGATACAGCAGCGCGAGGGTCGATGGGTAATGTGGGACAAGTCAGCCTCCTAGTGGCGTATTTGTTTAAGTACAAGGGAAAGCATTAGATTAAAGAAATACAAAGGGAATATTAGATCATTATAATTTAGTTAAATTGTTTAACGAACACCATGGAGCTCAATAGGCTGGTTTTACTTGCCTCCTTTAAACAAATGAGTGACAGATCTTGGAATCCTGATGAGTATTTTCACCAACACTTTGGCCAGTAAGGCAATGTTGACGATTCGTATATTTGACTTCCAATCAAATCCCACAGCACTCTTTCCCTCATGACACTTCTTAAAGGTTAGAGTTCAAGGGTCTTGTGTCCTGTGTGCACACGGGCTTGCCCTTTTCATTCCCAATCAGCCGCTTCTCTCTTTTTTTTTCTTCCTGTGCCAAAATGGAAAGATGCACCACAAAGGTCATGGACATGGATTTCCTTTGGTTTGACTCAATGAAAAGGTCAGATGAGGGCACCATGAAATGGCAGTGAGGCCTTCACATCGCCATCACAGGGACCCAAATCCTCACATCACCCTGGAAATGGCACCTCTTGGAGCTGCTTTCGTAAAACCGGGAGTGTCCCGTGGGCCGCTGCGACCTCGTCTAGACCCCCACGTGGCTTCAGTGGCCCACAGCGAGCAAAGATAACCGAGGAACAAACTGTGGTACAAAGAGTATCACATGTTGTATGAAACTAAACTTTTATGAACATAAGTATTGAATCGTCACATGTCTTCCTGTGCTTTTTATTTCAATTAAACATACTTTTCTGGATACAGTGTTACACAAGAGTAAGACAACATTCATCATAGTATTTGATTACTTTTCTGATAGTGTGTTTGACACGGCCTGTTTCTGTAATAATAGATAAGAGTGGCTGTGCTCTTCAACCCAAAAACTGTATCTAGGGCAACTGTATCTCTGCTTGTAAAGCAGTATTCAATTTAATCTTTGTAAAGATCCCAGTTTCCTTCCCTCCACACAACCTTGAGCAAAACACACATCCCCAGATACTCAAACTTTACACCAACAACATCTGCAAAAAACATTGCAAGGTTACTCAGCAAGGAGTTCAGTTGCCTGTTGCTGCTTGTTTGCTGTGTTTGTTAGTCAGATTAATTGGTTTGCAAAATCATTACCATAGAGGCAACGTTTCATCTTTTTTTATCACAACATATATATTGTTTAAAATGTTTTTGATCTTATCTCTTTACCTTTTAAATCCTGCTGCAATCCATTAGAAATCACACGGTAAATCTAAAAGGGTTGCAAAATTGTTAATCGAGAAGAAATTAAGAATTTGCACTGCAACACTTATTCTATCATAAATCACTTAAATCAATGTATATTTTTAAATGTAATATTTTTCATGAAACCTCAGATGTCCCCATAACTTGCCCTGACTGCACACTTCTGATTTAAAAAAAAAAATGGTTTGGGAAATTTGGAGTGTTGCTAATCAGATCCAAGTTCTTCCTTGAGATTGAAAACAGTAATTTGACAAGGAAAAAGGCAAGTTAAAGTTCAGTAGCTTTACCAGAGCTTTGTTGAGTTGAATTTGAGGTTAGAAGTCGATTCAGAATTCATTACACCAACTTACAGACTGTGTCCCGGGACAATCACATTTCTCCTCAGACTTCATCAGGATTTTCTTGTCTGTTCCATGTGTCAGTAATCACTCGAGTCGTGTGTAACAAAGAGACAAGAAGCAAAGGTTTAACAAGATTTGATTTATTAACTATGATACAGATCACATAAGGCCTTGCTGTATACACCATTCCCATCGAGACAAATTACCATACTCAGCAAATAATGACAGTTTTTTTGTTTGATGTTATCATTTCACTTTACAGTACTTAATTTATTTTTTATTATTTTATTTCCCCCCCCCCATTATTTCTTAATATTTTTGTATCATCTCTTAAATAGTGAGAGTGGTGGAGCCCTCTTCCTTTGTTGGGAAGAAATCATGCACTATACTGGGCTGGTCTCTCAATCGTTCACAAAGAAATTGTTAAAACAAATGCTTTGTATTTTTTAATTATTAAAATAAAACATAAAAAGAAACTTTTTTTTTCTATCACCACTGACTAAAGGGTAAAGTGTTAGACCCCCTAACATACCAATAAACAACCATTTGAATATAGTTTTGCTTGTTTCTCATTTTAACTTAACAGACATCTGTCACCATTGTTGCAAAAAACAAGAAAAACAAAAAAAGAAAGCAATGCAGCCACATATCATCGCTGAACCAAAGTCACATTTTTAATTCAATTGTTCTTCTAAATTGTCACTTTGCTTCCCATCTCTCCCTCTACCCTTTTTCCACAGTCTTTGGCTGCCTCACAGTCAGTTCAGTATTAACACATTGATATACACAGGGAACGCCACTGGCTGGCGTTCACACACAAGTACCAGTGGTCACCCCTCCTTCCTCCCTCGGTCTCCCAAATAATGATCCCATTCACACGTTCCCTGTCTATCTTCCCTCCCTCTCCCCAATCTTTCCCCCCCATCTCTCTCACCCTTTCTCTGAGGATCAGTGTGTGTAATCTGGACGAGCGAACAGGGTTACACAGCGGGGTAATGACCGCAAGGAGAACTGCATTCCTCTCCTTCACGTTTATTTGGATCACGCTGGTGTCTGGCTGTCAGCCAGGCACAGCTTGATAACATGTTAGCTCAAACCCACCCACCCAAACACACTTTGAATTCCTCTATCCTCTAATCACACACACACTAGGTAAATAGGTAGTGTAGACTTATAAAAGCTCCTTTAAGAGTTCAGTGTTTGGTTAAAAGTATTTAGTTTCCCCTGTTGGGCAGAGATGACAGTGTGGGGACATGCAGAGATGCAATTCACTGTCGAACTGAATAAGTGACCTTGGTGAGCATCTGCTTAACATTAACACGCACAAGTTCCCATGCGCACACACTTTCTCAAGCTCACGGAAACACTCATGCGTGCACAAATACACACACACACACACACACCAATGAAAAGCAGCTTCGATCGGGGCTCAGCAATTCTCATCGAGCCCCATCTCGCTGGTTTCTACGGTAACAGCAGGCGGGGCTGAGGAATGTTGTGATGCTCCGCTCCAGTCGTGCAGACGGATGAATGGACTGTCTGTTCGGTCTCCTGTCTCTCCCAGACCCAACTGTCTCCCTCGGATTGGGTATGACTAGGGGGTGCAGTGGCATGACAGTGACAGCCGGGAGAGTCTAGTAGTGGCTCTTGAACAATTTATTTGGGTCTTCAAAGAGCAGGTGTGAGTCTCCTTTCCAGAGGTGCTAAGCTGTGTCCTTAGAGGAAGGCGTGCTGGGGGCTGGAGCAGTGCTTACCAATTATTTCCAACAATAAAAAGCCTTCCCCTCCCACCTGTCAAAGCTTTAGTCTCACTTCCAGCTTTCTGGCCCATAATGCTACATTGTGCCACAATCTCTTCATTTCCCTTCACGTTTGGGAATTGGCATGCACTCCTTTACAAAGGGGCCGAGTGCTTTAGTGAAGTGGAAACTAACAAAGACAATGAGGCAATTTTATTCACTGCATGTGTAATTGGCTGCAATGTGGCTAAAAAGCGTAAATCAATATAATCTCAAATTATTTTCACCAGATTGAAAAACTAACGTTATTTATTTTAACTATAACAATAATTGAGCTCTACATTCTGACATGCAGTGATGTACGACCTTAACCATTGCATCTATAAGAGATTCTGATGCTACAAAAACCACAGTAGGAAAATTGTGGTGGTGGTAGAGGTTATGGCTGCAATACCCATTTATTCCTCTAGATGTCAGTGGTGTGCTCCCAGAGAGAGAAGGAGAGTAGGTTGCACTGACAATAAAGTGAATGGTGGCTGTCATGTCATGGCAGCTCCAATTTAAAATGTGCCTCAAAGTGCTCAGAAAAGTGCTTTTTGAACAAGGTCCTTACTGTGGAAACGGCATCGCTGACTCACTCTTGAAACCACCACAGCGTGAAAGAAGCAACATGACAGGTGAAGGTCCAGCACTGGAATTATTCCCACTCTCTGCCTATAGGGACATTCAGGTCAAACAAAAAGGCATGGATACATGTGCACACAGACAGATAGACAGTCACACAGACACTTACACACAAGGCCACTCATTGAGCAATAGGCCCCGCGTTTCTCTGCATTTCCCAAGATTTTGTCACAGAATAAAAAAGTGTTGGGATAGTGGGAATGTGAATGTAGGAAATAAGATTTAGACCAATCAAAGTATCCACTTTGCAAGTTGTTCTCTTGATGTGTTTACAAATACAGGACATGAGATTTAAGATCAACCCGAGAGAATGCAATCAGAAGGATGGGAGGAGCCTTCCCAGAATGCAAAGGGTGTGAGTTCCCATAATCCTTTGCTCTTATTTACTGTCTAGTAGATCTGGTCGGTTGAGATTTTTTTTTGTATTTGGCATACTGCCTCAACTGAAACTGATTTTTCTCTGCGTGTGTGGTTGTGTGAGGGGTTGATAGATAGGAATGTGTGTGTGTTGCGAAGGACAGAACATCCTGTTGGGTGAGAAGCAACATGTGTTCCTTGCCTAAGTCCTCTGTACAGTGGCGAAATAAACAAACATGTGTTCAGGACTCGCTCTCTGCTTCACTTAGTCCCAGACACAGACTTCCAGGTGGGTCAGTAGGTGTGTTGGATTGCAAAAATGTGCACCGGGCACCAAAGTTACCATCACAGTTAGAGGCTAAGGGGCTGAGGAGAATGGTTGTCAGAGGCACTCTGGCCACTGGGTGTTTGTGTCAAGTTTGTGTCTGTTTTGTGTGTGTGGTGAAGCAATCCCAACATAACAAAGTTCACATTCCCCTTCACTTTACTTCAGAGTCCCTCCCTGAGTCCCTTTAACAGTTCTTGGCAACATCTCACTCACTAGTGTGTTTGTGTGTAGGTTCTCTATAAGGCAAGGAGGGCAGGTCTGGATGTAGTGAGACTGAGACAAAGGGATAAAGTGGCAAGTAGGGAGAAAGAACATACTGCCAGTTCAGAGGCTCTTCAGCGTTCCCCTTTTTTCTGCCTTGTGTGTGTGTCCATTTTTCTAAAAGCAACCGAGGCTCAAAAGCCCCCTTATTTCTCCCAAACATGTAGGTTTCTCCCTGTACATACTGCATCTCAATCAATATCTCCCAACTTCTCTTCCTTCTTCCTGTACTCGTTTCAATTTATCTTCTTAAATTCCTTCCCAAACTTCAAAATCTCTAATTCTAAACCCTTAAATCTCTCTGAATCTAGTTAACCGTCTTCTTAGTTTTTTCCCCCCTCTTTCCCTTGATCCCTGGTTCACAGCGTGTGTTGTTCCGTAGGGGGGTGATGGGGGTGCAGGGAGGGCGGCAGCAGGGCGGGGATCGGGGACTGGGGGGTGGCAGGGGGGGAGTGGGGGGGGGACTGATGTTTGTGGTGGTGGTGAAGGTGGTGGTGAAGGTGGTGGTGGATAGGAGGGCCGTAGTGGGGAATGACAGGAGGGGTGGCTGGGAGGACGTAGGGGGTCAGGGATGGAGCCGGCGAGGATGAGTAGCCCCCCGCCATGCAGGAGTAGGCCGAGGTTCCTCCTCCGGACATGGTGGAGGTGGGGGAGCCCGGGAGGCCCTCGGCCAGTGGCTGATTGTAAAAGAAGTATGCGCACTGCTGGATGAAGCTCTCGATGATTGTCTGGTAGGTGCGGGTGGCCGTCAGGGCGTCCATGGTGGTGAAGTCTGGTCTCATCAGCGTGGGCCAGAAACAGATGGACAGGTTCTCACTGGTCATTAGGTTCGACTTGTTGTTCTGGCTCACCCTGCACAACACAAAGAAAGCAATACGTTTATTTAATTGGCCACAAATCACCCGCTCATTTTTGTCCAGCCTTGAATGATGGCAGTGATTGAAAATGGCATGAAATGGGCAAATCAGCAGGATGTCCAGAAGAATAAACTAAGGTGTATACTGTGTACTGTATGGGTGCAAATGAACCGTTATTATAGGTTACTAAATGTCTTGTAGTATGAATTTTTCAGCCAGCAGTCCGAAACCCAAAGATGATATAAAGCAGGGAAAAGAGAAACATTTCAAATTGGAGAAACTAAAGTAAATAATTGGGGGGGAAATGCTGCTTTACCCTTGAATCATGTTGCTACCCCTCAGTTGTATGCTTGGACGTGAGGGTATTGACTCAAACTGAGAACCTCTTATCCATACTATAGTTTGAATTCAGACTTAACGATTACATAAAAAAAAAGACTATGTTTTCACAGAGCAAGAGTCACTACAGCAACCTTTATTCAGTGTGCTAGATTCTGTGATGTCACCACTAGGTCACTTGACTGGGTGACCGGCGGTGTGGTCAGCAGGGATGTCAAAGGTTGACTCCGACCCCGCCACTCACTCACTTGATCAAATGGCTGTTGACATATTTGAAGACCTCGTAATTCTCCTTGGGGAAGCGGCGCAGAATGTCCTTCATCGTCTGGAAGCGCTGCTCCCTATCGTTGATCTCTGAATTGTTGAAAAGAGAGACAAGAGAGAGGTTAGATGAGGGAGAAAAGTGGATGAAAAAAATGATGTCGGGGAATCTGCGGGAAGGATGTCAGGGGAGTAAGAGTTAAGTTGAGAAGGGATGGGTCGGGGGGAGTACAATGGAATAGAGGAGAGTTTGAACAGCATAGTGGAACCAATTTGATTCAGCTCTCAAAAAAATCCGTACAGGACACAGTGATTTAATCCTACAACAGACCGAGTTTCACACTACTATACTATATATTATAGTATAATATACATCTCAGAAAAATAAAGAGACAAAGACCACACACATTTCAGAGGAGAAAAATACACCCATCACAATGTCCTTACAGATCACAGTAACTCACGCACACACTGGGTGTGTTAAGCCTGATGGCAGCGAGCGGTGAGTCAGAAAAGCTGACGTCACCAGCTAACACAGTCCATCCTGTGTGTGTGTGAGCGAGGCAGAGAGCAGCAGTGGGAATAGCAGATGTTCTCTCGTCCACATCACAAACATGAGTTACAATCAGAGAATTCAAATGTGTATTCCCACAATGAGGTCAGTGTGGATCAAAAACAGATTTCAGGCATAATGACTTAACACAGCCCCAGTTCCCCCAGCTACACATCCATCATCGGTAATCAAAACATAACTTCCTACGGCTTATTTAAAGTAACGTCACCATGACAATATGCATTAAAATCCACCCGCCCAGCTTTTTCTGTACGCCTCTTTTTCTCCACCTCTCAGCCTGACAGTAGAAAGCTGAAATTCTGAGAATGCGGAGCTCAATTTGCTGTTTTCTACCGAATGAAGGCTTTCTTGTCTCTTAACCCCACCTCACTTTTCTGTTTTCACTCCGTCTTCCTTTCCTTTATTGTGGTGCAGACTGCAAGAGCTTTATCAAGTCTCTGTCACGGCTGAAGAGTCTCACCGGGGCCGTTAAAAACACACACACACAGAGCTTGGTGAGTGACAGCAGCCTTGCGGCCAGGGGGTAAATCTCTCTGGCACGATGCAAGACTAAGCCATGCCTTAAATCTCCATTTTTGACAGATTACAGGACACAAAGAGAAGAAGAGAGGCTGTGGTGAGCGATGGTGGAGCACCCTCGTTTATCTAACATATGACTGTTTTTTCATGACTTCGCCTATAGTGTTCCTGCATCCCTCCATCATGGGCAATCATCCCAACCACCTCCTTCACTATAGGATTTAAATATTCTCTCCTCCATCCGTTATTTTTCTCCTTTCCCCATTTCCTCACAGAGGGCAAATCCAATTCTCCCCATGGGTGGATTTGTGTTGCAAGAGCTTTGCTTGTTAGGTAAAAGAAAAGTTACAAAGAAAAGTCAATACACCTCAGGTTTTCCACACCCCGGAGCCCCAGGACTTACTGAAGGCGTCCACCAGCTCCCCCTGCATGCTGTAGGGCACCAGAGGCTCGGGGAGCTCGGAGAAGAAGGCCTTCATGGCTCCGGCCACTGTGTTTATGGTGAAGTCTTTCTCCACCAGGTCCAGGTTGTGGTCTGTAAGAAAACAATGGAAAGACAACATTTTAAATACAAAACACACATATTACACATATTTGTTTATATATGCAGATAGCAAATAAGACAGGTGGCTTCTTTGCTTAGTCAATGTTAATCCAACCATGGAAGAGGCTATAAAATGATACCGTGAAACAGTATAAATAAAGGTTAACAAAACAATTTGAAAGATGTCTCAAAACTCATCCCTTCTCTCTGCCTTAGACATTTTCTGCACATCTTTTGTTTTGAAAAGCATCTTTGATTTAAATAAAAAACACTTAATTGAAGTCATGATTATTCTTGTTATTATTACTAACAATAATACCAGTATGTCATATAACTGAACTAAAACATATTCAACGGCAGTAGGTTGCTAGATAAATAATTGAACAGTATTTTATGGAAGTAATGCACTCATAATATTCATTTGTATGAATGTGATTCAGTCTGTTATTAAAGTCTGGTATGAAAATCATCTATGGTTATTGACTTTCTAGGAAATGTAATGAATCAAGGTGATGTGTTAGAGGTTATTTCCATACTTCCCACTGTTGTATTAAATTGTGCACTAACAGGTCTGTTCAATTCATCATTTAATCAATAAGAATAAAATAACAAATAGCACCTTAGGTGAAACCATAGGATTATTATTATTTTGCTCAATACAAATATAATTTGCGAAACAGCTCAGTTCCCCTCACTTCGGTGTGAGGTAAGGGGGATAGAAAGAGAGTGTATGGTGTGAGTGTGTGTGTGAGTGTGTGTGTGTGTGAGTGTGCCGAGGCCGAGACTTAATTAGAAAAACCCATTTTCTGATAACCGTTTTTAAAGGTAGTATGTGTAGAAAGAATAAGAGGCAATGTAGAATAGGTTAGTGAGTTCTTGAAAAGTCTGAGGAGGACTCCCATTTTGAGAGTTTAAGAGAGTGCCGTGCTTAAGATGCTGTTTTGTCCTTTAACGCGTTATCAGAATCTGCAGCGGGCTGGTGAAGTGCCATCTTCAGAATGGCTATGAGACCCACACACACACACACACACACACACACACACACACACACACACACACACACACACACACACACACACACACACACACACACACACACACACACACACACACACACACCACACACACACACACACACACACACACACACACACACACACACACACACACACACACACACACACACACACACACACACACACACACACACACACACACACACACACACACACACACACACACACACACACACACACACACACACACACACACACACACACACACACACACACACACACACACACACACACACACACACACACACACACACACACACACACACACACACACACACACCTCTCTGTATCCTGGCAGGGACATGCTTCATTAACCAAACCAATCTGCTAGTAATTAACTGCCCACAGCAGATAGACACACGCATGGAGACACATATTGAGAGCTCGTGTACGTGCACGTGTGTTAACATGCATGCGCACAGGAGCAGGTAGAAGATTAAGGAGGCAGGTCTACTGTCTAAAAGGAAGCCAAGGCCAATTCCCCCTGTAGAATTAATGCTCCCTGGTTAATTAAGGGGATCCAGGCTTGTTACAGATAGAAGCTGACATACACGTCTTTGTAGCTTCTCTTTGAACCCAGCTTGTAAGTGTACAGCTGAAGCAAGAATGGGCATGTGTACACGTGTACTTGTGAGTGCTGAAATATTAACGTACCTTGCTCAAATTGCCGCTGCATGCCCTCCATCTCAGCCTTGTTTCCGCTGACCCTGTAGATGCCCTCTGTTGTCAGCCCTAATGAAGAGAGAGAGCGCAAAAGGAATGTTATTAGCACAATGTTCTGCATTTAATTTGCAACCTTGATCCAGTATTTATAGTAGCTGGTCAGTCACCACCAAGACTCTTAGTGTATCACTATGCTGCGTTTGGATGCACTCCTAAAGGGCTGAAAAATAAGAGCTAAAGCCGGCTGCTCTAATGGCCTCTCCTTATGTCCCCTTCCTTCTAAACACACAATTAGCACTATTTATTAAACTCATAAAGCACTCCTGCAGCCCTGCAAAGAGCCCACCGGTGCAATGTGACAGACTGATGCTACCTTAATAGGCACACACTTTAAAATGACTTGAGGGACTGCAGATGCCAAGAGGTTTTACTCTCCTCATCTAACTTTATTCTGTGGAGAATAATTACTCAGAATTGTAGACCTTTCTTTAGACACTCAACAGTCAAATTGCATCTATATATATTAAAGGGCCACACTGAGATTTTGCGGCAGAATAGTTATTATACTAAAATGTACAAGTTTGAACTCCTTTAAATGTATTTTCTCTTTTATTTTTATTAATAAGTGAAAAATATACTAATTAAAATCACAGGCCAAATGAATGTATTATCTGCGTACAGCTATAATTTATCCAGCTATAATCTAATAATCTTATATAGTTTGACAGTTTCAAAGATTTAACAACCAACAAAAAGGTTCGCCATGGATTTTGCACAAGTCTTGAAGGCCATTTTAGTTCATTCACTGTCGTGCTGACAACCACTGACAAACTTAACACATTTTTGCTCACATACTGTATAATTTTCATTTTACAAGGGGAAAGAACGCATTAGCAGCTTCAAACTGTCCGCCCTTCTACGCATTTCAAATTCAACAGCAGAGAACCCTCGAGAAAACTCAAAACACTTCTCTGAACGCCCAACTTCAGTTCTTATTAAGTCTTACTAAATATTCCCTGAATTAAATAGTTATGTCAATTGCAGTAAGATCAAGTAAATATAACCTTTAGTCCTGTATTTACGCACCGCATCCGTGTACTCAGTCATGGAAAACACAAGCAACCAAAGTCAAAGCAGGACAACGTATTTTTAGTTGAACCAGTTTCACTGCTCTTTAATGCAAATATTTAGTTAGCCAACCACATGGACACAACACATTCCGGCATGTAGACATGGGCAAGGTGGTCTGCTGAATGTTAAACCAAATAGCAGAATAGGGAGGAAAAGGAATTTCCCTTTTAACATATCAGGGTTGTTAGTTCAACAACTAGGTTCTAGAACAGTGGTTCTCAACTGGTCAGGCCTCGGGACCCACTTTTTACTTGGTCAATAAATCGCGACCCAACATTTTGAAGCACTCAAATCTATTCAACAAAAAATCGTGCTGATATATTTATGATCCACGTCACGTTTTCAGTTCCTCATGTTTGTCTAGAAGTCTTCTCATCAGGGCTCTATAAATACAGAACTACGGCAGATATGTAATATTTAATGCAGCCGAACCGTGTATTACAATGCCGTTATGTGATGACTTCCAAAGAGAAAAGCAAGCACACTCGGAATAAAGTATTATTTTATTTTTTTTAAATGTTTTCGGTCTGTTTCCGGTATTTGCTAATGACGATGTGCTGTGAGATGTGAGACTGGAATTGCACAGGGGAAAAATAACGTAGGCTATCTTTAGATGCAGATTTTGTTTAATAACTAATATGTTTGCGCTGTGGATTAACACTATACATTGACGGGGAAGGGGGTAGCAATAAAGATAACACCATTAAACAGTTACACAACATAACAGAAATAATATCGATAGCAGCGTCCCTAGCAACCACCTTGGTAACAATGAAAACTTCCTGAAGTAATCTTCGTAATAACTAGCAAACTAAAGATCATGTACATCCACTGCACACATAATCTGAAATGACAACTCATATTTCTCGCATCAGATGACATCAAAACGCATTTTAATGGCCAAACTAACTTTAAAATAGGCATTTTCCACCGAGAATAAAACGAAGTTCGGCCATGTTTTTTTTTTCTGCAGGGAGAAATTTGAAGATCACGTGACATAGACGCCAGCCATTGGAATGAATGGCGTAACCCTCGGAGCACACTCTCCAATCACAGAGCTTGAGGACTATCACGGGGTTTGTCAAACCGATGCATGGTGTAGTCCTAAACGATAGCTGGGGATTCTGGGTAGTGTAGTGTCTTCTGCCATCCTTTACTCCGAAAAAATATTTGTTTCTCCGAATCGAAGGGGAAAAATACAAAAGCATTGCACACAATTTAAACCAATCAATGTTGTGTAATTAACAAGGATAATCTGGTGTATTTTAGTCGATGAGTAGTGCAGATATCACTGTAAAATCAATCGATAGTAAGGGGAATACTTACTTCCGGGTGTACAATTCTCCGTTATCCAATGAGAATGGACGCTCACATTGCCTTTAAGGGCAGCCGACACAAACGAATGCCGTGCTTCCATGAGCGTCATTACCAGTAGAAATACATTGCTTTTAAAATCGTGCTGTGCAACACGAAAAAAAGGGGGAAATCGTGTTGGTGAACACGAATCAATAGATTAAAAATCGTGTTGGTGAACACGAAATGCCATGAGACTGGGTTGGATATTATCATGTCAACGTAGACCAAAATCTCTGAGTAATATTTCCAGTACTTGTTTGAATCTAGTCACAAATAATAAAGGCACTTCTAAAGGCATAAGTTGGTCCAACAAGGTACTAGCAAGATGAAGCTAATTAAGTAGCCATTGATAAGATAAGGTTCTACTTCCCACACTTGAAATTCTGTTTTCATTTTGGTTGGAGACAAAGAGCGATCCAGAGGGAGTGAAGGAGAAAGGGAGTGGCAGAAAAGGAGGGCGAGATAGAGAGAGGCAGGGAGGAAATGGGAGAGCTTTCAGTCAACGCATACAGCATCGATCTCCTCCTTCTACCAATCAATTATCCACAAAAGCTTTTCTAGCCAGACACTAGGAAAACAGGGATGGGAGGAAAGATAGTGAGAGGGGAGTAGTGGTGGGGAGAGGGAGTGAGAGATAGGGGCAAAACAGGACAAGCACCCAAGTATGAGAAAGATAGTGGGGGGAGAGTGAAGGGCGCATGGGAGTGAGGGTCAGGACTGATGAAGGAGAGAATGGGAAAAAATGAAGGGCTTAAGATAAGGAGGAATATATAAGATAGACGTGTTTGAGACAACAAATCACTTCAAGGATGGAGATTGCAGGAGAGTAATAATAACAGCAGAGAAGCCACAAAGCAATGGGGGTGGGGTGGGGGGGGGGGGGGGGGGGAATAGAAGAAATAGAAGAGTTTTACTTGTATAGATGTAATGAAAGGAAAGCTCTCAATAACAGACAACAGCATCCTCCTTCTCTGGGGTCAAACAAAGCACTCTGTGCCTCCTGGGGTCAAGGTAAATATGAGCACTTCCCGTAGCAAATACATTGTGTTATTCTGCATCTCTAACCAGGCTTTTATAGTCAATCAATTTTACAGTGCATTGGTAATAAAAGGCTTTTCTCAAGCTTGTATCAGATTAAAAAAAAACTTAACAGCTTCCATCATCGTCAAGTGGGCAAAAACCGAGCGGTAAACGTCCTTGGAGTAAGCAGCTGTGCTCCTGCAGCATGTTACTGCCTTATAACACTCCAGTTGAGCCCGCATCAGCTCAGAGTGGCTGATTTCACAGTTCACCGTGAAAACTGTTGGTCGCTGGGTGCTGCCCTTTACGTCACTACGGAGGCAGCCACAGCCAGAAGATATGCCCCCACAAGCTAACACACACATCACTTCTGTACCCGTGAGCAGAACACACAGCGAGAAAAAGCCAGAGCTGAATAGAGATAACAGCAGTCACAATGGATTGATTTTATAATGCTGCTTTTCCACAAGCTCACAATGCATGAAAATAACACAAAATACCATATCTACTCCCTTTATTCTCAGGGACAAAGGGAGTGAGCTAGGAAGCACAATTAAGAGAAGCAACAAAGACATAAGACGTTTGAATAGGAACAGAAAACTATTTTTTCTCCAACAAATGCCTTCAAAAATGTGTGTTTTATCCATGAAGTCAGAGTTTTCTGACAAGTTACTATACAATTTGGCTTCAGAAAATGTGTTTTTGTATTAAATATACCAAGTTCATCATAGACTGTAAGACGTTATTGGTGACATTAAACAGACTAGTGCAATCCCCCTTTGGCCGATTGCTTGGCCTCAGGTTTTGCTGTTTGCAGCTCTCCCGAAAACCACTCATCCAAACAACTTCACACTCGACACAGCACTTCTTCATGTCCTCAGCAACACACGCGGCAAGTGTAAAGTCGTTCAGATGAAGGTTGCTGAGAAACTCAAAGGACATATAGAGATACCTTCCATTTGAGTTTTACAAGAATAAAGGCTGGAACGCTGTATTTATACTTGAAAAGGAGGAAAAGGGGAAAGGATATAGGGTAAAGCTGCTTTACAATGTCACTTATTATCAGCCAACGCTATAGAGACAAACATAGTGTTAGCGCTGTATGGTAATTTCCTTTGAGTGCTATTATGCCTAGAGATCGTAGACACAGATTCGGGATAAGTAAAGTCTAACTTACAGCAGCTACAATCGAAGCTAAACAGCATATTGTAACTCATTTCCCTTTGCAGTTGCAGTTATTCTCTTTGTGGGTGTGCCAGTCTATACGGCAAGTGTTCAAATGTAAACGTAGCATTCCTGTGCACGTTAGTTCTGACTGAGATGTGTCAGGGCACACTTAGCATGCATACTCACATAAATCACACAGAAGCAAGCAAAACACACACGGAAAAGTGCTGAGCCCACATTCTCCCAGTGTTCTACCTTTGATATTGATCGGATAGAGGGAGCAATGGGGCAGAACATTACCTGGCAACCCCCTAGTGACACACACACACACACACACACACACACACACACACACACACACACACACACACACACACACACACACACACACACAC